GCGTTGTTTATTTTAGAATTTTGTTTCTAAGTCGGCATGTAGAGTGTCAGTGAAGGAGAGAAATAGAAACGAGAACTGAAAATTAATGTACATGTCACGCTGGGTAGCAGAAATATTGCTCATGTATTTTTACAACTCAGCGAGGATTAAACGAGAACCATGTACACGTGTTGTATCTTATTTTGTTAGATTTGAATATCTTAATGTAGGTTGAATTTCTATTTTATTCAATAACAATTTGTCCAGTGTATAGCTTAATCCTATAGATCTTAAGTGTCGTATACGTTTTTAGTTGTGAATAATGAATTTGGAAGAATGTTGAAGAAATCGGCCGTGCTATTTAATTTACTATCTTAACATTTGCCTAGAGAGATTGAGGAAAATCGCGAAAATCCTCAGTTAGGGTACATGGCAGCCGACGATTGTTTGCGATCTTTGGTATTTTTCTCTTCACCATAGCTACCAGACAGTTTCGGGGTTCAATTCATCCTCCTAGCCAGTGGATGCCGCCCGCGTTCCCTGAAGGCACAGCATAAAGCTGGTGTCGAAATCTGTGTGAACGCATGCCCTTGTGTCTTCGCCATCATGTCGTTTAGCTTATTCGCAGGGGAAAACACTTTTTCTGTTGTCGAAGTTAAGAATGTGTGGAACCCTACCTCCACTCCACTTACACGCCATAACTTAATAGTGCTTACGAACACTGCATTTTGGGTGACTTCGCAACTAAAAGTTACAACAACGAGCCTCGTATCTTCGCCATGTTTGTCTGTCTGCCTGTTTTTCCGCATTCAACAACACGAAAACCATTTGAACATATTTTATTAAATTTTATATTTGGGGAGTTTTACTATAATTTGTCGACACGTTCTATTTTTGAAAGAGCGGGCAGTAGTTACTGACACTATATGAAACTTACACACGTTTATGAGCGAAGTGAATGATTGGGGAATCCCCAACCAAAGAGGAGTCCACGCAACCACGTGGGAGAATTATCGGGGAATCCGCATTATGACGCCACAACATAGGCGAAGAAAGAAAATTTAACTCCTTTGTTTCTTCTATTTGTTCTGTTTATTTATTTCATCCATCTGTTATACCCTCGGCCCCGATTGGACGGCTCAGAGCTGTTGTGAACGTGGTGGCAAGAGAGAAGTCCCGGTGCCGCTTACCGGAAATCAAACTCCGGCCGTGCATTCTGAAGACAGTTCTTTTACAGACTGAGATAGCTGTTAACGGTTCCACTTTCCTCTTCTGCAAGGAAATCACTTTCACTGGAATCCATGACTACCATGTTAACTTTGTTTGGGAATAACTTCATTCCGCTGTAGATTATTGTTGATTTAATGATTGGGTGATTCATTCAAGGACTTGAAATTCACACAGACAGGTCACATAGGACATAGGACTGGTGACTTGTCGAAATAAACATACTCAATCTTGTTGCCATTCATGACTGTGATGTCTTGTCCTTTTTGCATGGCTTGCCAAAATTACGGATAACCTGGCTGTCCTATCTTCAGAATGCAGAATTATCTACCAACTGTCTCGTTTGTCGGAAATAGAAATATATCCGCCTCGAAGATGGAGACAATCCTTCTTTCGAAACGCCAACAGACAACTAGATTAACCACAAGACTGCAGAAATGTGAAAAACAGTGAGTTACTGCGTGGGTGACTGATTCGGAAGTGATGGGTGAAGCCACTTTCCTAATTCCCCTTTAGGAAGTAACACTACAATAGACCTCTGTCAAGGTTATTGTGGTCTAGATTCGAACTCTTGACCTTACAGATAAAACATTTGCGTTGAAATGCTCGACGAGGTACGGAAACGTTACAAACAACGAGGTTTACAGTTGAGTCGATTATTTTCAAAATCACATCATTGCACAAAACTCCCTCTCAAACAAGCAAGCACACTAATTTATTGTACGCTTGATTTATTTTTCCTGTTTAATAATTGTGAAGTGTATAATTTATTGATACAATTGTAGTTAAGTGGCATCTACCAGAGTACAAGATGCAACATCCCAATTAAGAGGTGGCGTCTGAAGCAGATCGGGTACCTTTTCCTTTCCTTCATCGTATGCAGGTCATCCTCTGACAGCTTGTAATGTAGCCGTGTATTTGATTCGTTACATAAGGCAGGATTGCGCAGTCCATTAATCATCATTATCACCGGACAATGCACGTGAAACTTTGCAAATTGGAAATAATAATTGGAAGTAGAAGTGTATTCCATTTCTTCTGGAGGGCGGGACGGTATATGTAGGAGACCCCACGATACTTTGTCTTTTGTTATTTACCCCGCGTCGGATAAACCCATGCGGAAATGTTCAAAGTTACTCGTATTGGACCCCCAGGAAATTTCTTCTTCTTCTACTTTTCTTTTTAGTTCGAAAGTTCGCCATTTTGTTCACAGATTCGTGTTCTAAAGTAACTGACTTTAGGTTTCCACGGCAGTGAGTTTGTAGATGGCTGTCTTCTGGGTTGTTTCGCCGTGTACTCTGGTCGATGTTTACCAACGTTTCTGAGGTCATGCTGCCTCCATCATCAGGGCGATTCTTAGTATGAAGATTTCTGTCTTCTGGGTTGTTTCGCCGTGTACTCTGGTCGATGTTTACCAACGTTTCTGAGGTCATGCTGCCTCCATCATCAGGGCGATTCTTAGTATGAAGATTTCTGTCTTCTGGGTTGTTTCGCCGTGTACTCTGGTCGATGTTTACCAACGTTTCTGAGGTCATGCTGCCTCCATCATCAGGGCGATTCTTAGTATGAAGATTTCTGTCTTCTGGGTTGTTTCGCCGTGTACTCTGGTCGATGTTTACCAACGTTTCTGAGGTCATGCTGCCTCCATCATCAGGGCGATTCTTAGTATGAAGATTTCTGTCTTCTGGGTTGTTTCGCCGTGTACTCTGGTCGATGTTTACCAACGTTTCTGAGGTCATGCTGCCTCCATCATCAGGGCGATTCTTAGTATGAAGATTTCTGTCTTCTGGGTTGTTTCGCCGTGTACTCTGGTCGATGTTTACCAACGTTTCTGAGGTCATGCTGCCTCCATCATCAGGGCGATTCTTAGTATGAAGATTTCTGTCTTCTGGGTTGTTTCGCCGTGTACTCTGGTCGATGTTTACCAACGTTTCTGAGGTCATGCTGCCTCCATCATCAGGGCGATTCTTAGTATGAAGATTTCTGTCTTCTGGGTTGTTTCGCCGTGTACTCTGGTCGATGTTTACCAACGTTTCTGAGGTCATGCTGCCTCCATCATCAGGGCGATTCTTAGTATGAAGATTTCTGTCTTCTGGGTTGTTTCGCCGTGTACTCTGGTCGATGTTTACCAACGTTTCTGAGGTCATGCTGCCTCCATCATCAGGGCGATTCTTAGTATGAAGATTTCTGTCTTCTGGGTTGTTTCGCCGTGTACTCTACTTTAAATGATTTTGGTGTAAGTTTGGCCTCATTTCAAATACCAATTTACGTAGAGGAGAAAATTAATTTTTACGTAATATGATAATGAAACTTGATGTAAGACACATGTATTGCACTGGTTGCATTTTCGTTCGTGTTAAGGTTGCCCTTACTGAAAATTCTGCATACATTTGTGGCCGTATCTCACATAGTAGTGTCCGAAAAAAAAATTGAATAAAAGTTGTTAGTCTCTATGTAATATTCGTATTTTTGTTCTATGGCGCAATAGCCTGAAGTCGAGCCATGGCTTCCTCCCATGTGAGAGTTTTCTTTGTCTTTTGAAGTGTGCATTTATGTGTAGTGAGTGACAGGCCCACGGCCTCTGAATATTCGTATTACGTCTGTTGAAATATTTGAACGGAGCTCAGTGATTCAAGAAAATCGCCCGTGTAGTCTGCTAATACATATTAAATATACACAACCGAATACATTATTTAAGCTCTGCTATTGTCCTATCAACTATCTTATTCCTGTCCGATTTAATGTCTGGCCTTCTTTCCATTATACACTTAGACAGCAGATCAGCGCCTTCGTTGGGGTAAACCTAAGGAAATTCTCAATGGTACTCCAAATGTGCTTTAACCCGTTCTTGTTGCGTTAGCGTGGTTGTGCTGCAGTTAGTAGCCGGTCACTCGGAGGACAACGCAGGGTGTAAGAACACTTAAACAACAGGAAAATCCAGAAAAACAACATTTACGATATGACATTTGCATCGTTACATGTAAATATGCGATATTGATTGAATAAATAAGTCACAAGAGACATAATAACTCAACTAATTTAGTATTTGAAAATATAATAATAATCCAGAGACGATCAGGCATTCAGTTCCGTTAAAACTTAAAAAAGTAAAACGTATTCTGTTTCATATATGTAGTACCTGAGAAATGTTACCCAAATTATTTTTAAATTTTCATTGACAGATTTTTATCTTGATTGAATGCCGAATAACTGTACCATATCGTCTATCAATTGTATAATATAGAGAAATATATCGTTATGGCAGTGTTATCATAATTTAGTGCTAAAATGAATTCCTTGTTGGAACTGGTGATTTGTATTATGTATAGTTTATAGCCAAGTTCTGTCTGAAATAACCTTAAGAATAATATTTTATGGAAACGTTGCTATAAGACTCTGTGCAGTATAAAGGTAATTATGTAGATAGTGTAAGCACTAATTAGTGTTGATTTATCAATACCAGGGGATGCTGAAGCACAAGATAGCTATTCTCTATAAAAAGTAAAGTTTGTCCCACTATACACCATGTAGGCGCTTGGGATGAGCGGAGGTATAGCTCCTCTCTTTCTTGACCTCGGCACTAGATGGGGGTGAGTGATCAGCATCACGCCCCGGCCGGCTTTACCCCCGGGACAGGACCCCGGTACCCATTATAGAGAAGGCTGGGTGGGCCCCAGAGCCGGTCTGGACCCAGAGGCTAGAGGAAAAATCCTCTGGCCCTGTCTGGGATCGAACCCCGGTCGTCCAGCCCGTAGCTAGTCACTATACTGACTGAGCTATCCCGGCTCATAGCTGTTCTCTAAAGTCTACTATAAATGAGACAATTTCGAGGGAAATAATCTCGCAAACTCATAGCATCATAGCCTCATAGCTCTGTCTCTATACGCCATAAACCATCATGAAGCAACACGCCGTCTTTTTTGATTATAGCTTTAGCAGTAGCATTGGTCGCAAGTACACTACCGGATAACAGCATTAGTGCAGTTTAAACATGGTAGCCGAAAGCAGCGTGGTCCAGTTGTTAATTTCTTCATAAAATGAAATTATCAAAATTTAATAATGTTGCTTTTTTGTCTGGATGAAGGGACCTAAGTACAGTCTTATTAATATCACCATTGTATCGCCGGTAAAAACTTCCACTTTTAGTCTAATGTAATGTAGAATGTTTGGGTACACACATTTTTCAGTTTCTTATCTAATTTTTATCTAAGGAATTTGCAGACACATTTGTTTGGCATTTGTGAGCGTATTAAAGAACAATTGTACAAGTCACATACACTTCAAAATCCAGGTGTGACCAACATAAATGATGAAAAGTTGATTTCACATCCTCCTGTAAGTGTATAATAGGCATAATATCTTCAGCCTTAAGTTTATCAGAATTTATTTTCTTTATATAATCGTTTATACCCGGAAGAAATTTTAATGATCGCATTTCTGCTGCTACTGTTTTTATTTTGTCTCTGCCATCAGATGTTCATACCTCACAGCTTATTTTACCACTGTCGCTTGTGAGTAGTAAATTTTCAGTTTGAGAGATACCGGTCAGCTGCGAACTAGTTTGATGCTTGAGACTGTTGCTTTCAGGTTTTTGTGTTGGTTTGGAACAGACTGTTTGACCCCTCAACTCCGACATATCTGTCGAGAGTAAATATCCTACAGTCGACATAACCGCCAGCCTCTTCTCCTTCGAAGTTGGTATCCCTTGGAGATGTAAATGTCCGTGTAGAATTCATATTGATATGACTTGAAGATTTCGCGGCGACTGAATGCGATAAAATCTTCTCGGGCGATGATTTTATCGAATCGAGCATTTCGATTAGCCTTGTAGCAAAGGTAAAATGCCCGAAATTAGTTGTCGCTGGGTGGTACAGCTAGAGGCCTTGCGACGGGCCGGCGTTGCGTCCAGGGATAACGTTCCGAAAAGTTGGCAGAAATAAAGTGGCTGTCTTCTGCGTTGTTGCGCCGTGTAGTCTGGTAGAAGTTTACCGACGTTTCAGAGGAACATACTGCCTCCATCTTCATTCCCTCCTGTTTGTTATGCAGAGGAAAATATGTTGATTATGTTTGAGAAAGTAGAGCATCTTGCTAACTTAACGGTTGCAGGAGATGGCTGGATATATCTTCCTGTGCTGACTAGAGTGAGTCAAGGAACTTTCGATTTTAAGTACTCATCACTGAGAAAGAGCCAGGCAGAGATAGTGAACCTAGTATGTCCTTACTTTTAAAGCCACTCTCATAGAGTCGCTTTCTCACGCACTCTCAGTGGCACTGTCACTGTAGTCCATATTCAGTCACGCACTGAGTCACTCCCCCCATACACTGTCGCTCTACCAATCACCCACATTCTCTGTCTCATCAAGTCCGTCACTCGCTCCGTTATTTAATCGGTCTCTGTCATTCACTTACCTAGATTTGGACCAACTTCTCGAGAGATTTAACTCCTGTGAAATGTCTCGCTGCGGGTTAGGCGTAAGGTGATAAAGTCTCAGTAGTGGCGCTCGAATAGTTCCCACGTCCAAAACAGTTGCTTTCCCACCTGTAAGCCAGAGCGGACCTTTCAGTCATAGCATAAACTGCCCACTCACGGAACAGTATTGACGTCAAGAACGCGTGTACCTTAACCTCAGTTTTCGCTGTACGTCTTTCATTACGTACTCGGTCACACCAAACGCTTGTTCGCAGATCATGGCTCTCACTTTGAGAAAGGAACCTACAGAGTCTTTCTAAAAGACGCTCCGATTGTAATAGCTTATAATTACTTACCTACATAGCAAACATCACTGTATTTGGTGTCTCTTAGTTAAGTAGTCTTGGGAGAATGTAGCTGGGCCACACACACTGCGAAAGTAGCGCTGGATGTGCTCTATGATAATTTTGACAGTGTTTGTCTAATCGCTTTCCTTTACGGCCCTTACCACTATAATCTCCAGATCTGAATGCGTTCACTAGAGTCTGCCATATTTTTCTTACTCTGAGTCACAGGAATACATGTGGACTGAAAACCTCTTGTTATTTTTATTGTTGACCCATTTTAATATTGTCCTATCTACGCCTAGGTCTCCGAAGTGATTTATTTTCTTCAGGTTGCAAGACGAACATTTTGTATCCATCCCATGTTACCTTTCTTGATATTATCTCACATTTGATGAAATTCACAAATTATGAAGCTCCTAATTATGCAGTATTCCTCGGTCTGTTCGTACATCCTCTCTCATATCCCTAAATTTTCTCCTGAACACATTGTTCTTAAACAATTTCAATATGTGCTCTTCCCTTGGAATAGGAGACTATTTTGTTCCTACACAAAACGACAGATAGTATTTTCTTATAGTTTTCAGACTGTGTTTTAATCAATACATTTTTTGGTAGGAAATGGAAGGAAACAATTCTGAACTGAATAATTGCAAGCATTACACGAAATGTATTTGTAAATGTTGTTTTGATTTTTTTTAGTCGTCCCCAACCTATCGACTTTTCTGCGTTTTGTATTGCATTCTGGGTATGAGATATCAACATAGATCCATAGCATTTTCTGCGTTTACTTTTATGCTTTTCTTCCTATCTCACAATGTTTTTATTTTCTTATCACCATTAATTAAACCACGACTTCCGAATGAACGTTTGTGTTGGAGTAACAGAAGTTATTCGACAATATTTCTCCAGTTGAATATAATACAAAAGTAGGCCTTTTGTGAAATCAAGACTTAGGTATAAGTTTAGCTTCTAATCTGATGACGATATCGAAATAACTGTACATATTCATGTGCAGTTTTGTATGGGGATCAGTTGTGGCCATGCATACGGAGTGCGTTATGTTTATTTATATATAATTTACTTTAAAATTACAGACATGGTGACGATAGGATACTTTCAAGTTATAGAGGGCAAAATAAACGTTGTGAAAATCTTTACTGGCTGATAATAAGTCACTACCATTTAATCGACGTTTTTAAGGGAAAGCAAGCAAGCGTTACTAAATTTCTCAGATCTTCTGTTACGTATGTCAACAGAGGATGCCATGGGGACAAAAACAGGTGACACTCTTGGCGAGAGCGTGTGGTGTCTTTGGAGTCTGTTCTGCAAGTTGTGTTGGGGATCTTCAGTTTTGTATTAAGAGTTTCCAGTAGGCAATTAACTGGACTTTCTTCTTCGTGTTGTGAGAAATTTTTCAAATTGTAAAGTGTCGTGAGATCTTCTGCATATAGGCCAGGAGGACTAAGACGCTGCGCTGGCTTCGTGTACTTCGCCGAAATTACAATTTGTCTTCGTGCCAGCACATTAATTAGGGCGGAGCCAATGACCTGAGTTCCAAGGTGGCGCATTCATTGTATTCCTAAATGAGGCGTAATTTGTCTCGCTTCTTTACTTTGTACAGAACAGGTGACCTTATAAAATCAATAATTTGATTTGTTTCCTTATGTTCTTCCCCCTTTTATCCTCTTTTCAACATCTCACCTCTCATATACTGAAATTTCTTTTCGTTATCATACATCTCCTACTGCATATTTTTTCTTCTCCTTCTTCCTCTGTTGGTTTCTTTCTTCTCCTTTTTCTTCTTCGTTTGCTTCTTCTTTTTCAATGTCTTCTCCCACACAGTTGTGTTCTCAGGGCCTGAAAGAATTAACCAAAATTTATGTAGCGTTTAAACAAAGTAAATTAACGCAAATATGGCTTTAATTTAGTGTGTTATCTGTGAGAATAAATTTCCGTTTTCTCTGAAAAATGTCACCAGAAATGTGCTTGTAACATAATGTCGTTATCTCGTTTTATATCCTCCGTTATGCATGTCACATATTATTGAAGAAGGCAGACCGAGGGTGTTTGAGAACAGGGACTGAGCAGAACAGTTAAGAGGTATGAGAGAGAGGAAAACACAGGAAAGTGGAGAAAATTTCGCATTGCCAACCCATATAAATCTCGCTGTTTGGCCAACTTCATAGTTGTGACACATCAGCTAGTCAAGACATTTCCAGCCATGGAACTCGAAGGTTTATTATTTATTCTGAAAGAGTCGTCTTAATATTGGTTTACCATCTAGTAACTGACATCCAGGGGTAGGAGACGGCAAATGCATTCAGAATTTTTATAAGTAACCTTCTTTGACGGATGTTGCATTTAAGACAGAGAGTAATACTAAAATGGGAAATTTGTTGTGAGGGTGGGAAGTGATGCAGTTGGCTCAGGACCGTTTCCCGCTGGCTTTTACATTACGAGGCTTGAACTTTCGGATTCTACTACCACAGAGTTAATGCAGTTACTCAATTTAGTTTCAGCTTTGTTCGCGTCTGTCCGTCCTTTGAATTTGCACTGTAATAATTCTACTGTCGCAAACAGCTGCAAGAAGCCAAGAATTTTATAAACTCTGGTCTGTGCTTTGGTTCATGTTTTCGATGTTTTAAATGTATATTATTCTCCCATGGCGAAGCTTGATACCCCCAGTCTGCAAAAAAGTCAGGGTTCTTGGAAATTTTCTTTATTCCCCCCCACGCCGAATTGGTTCTGAGTCGGAACATCACAGAGGTCCCGAAAGACTAGATAGTCGCACTCTATTCGTTCCTTTTGTGTTTCCACAAAATCCATATTTGGACGTCGTGTTCAGATATCCTAATCGTAGGTGATGTATTTGTTACCAACAGAAAAAAATGTACTGTACCAGGTGGTGGGGTCAGGTTATAAATTTTAGTTACATTTTCAGTGAGGGATTGGTACATAAAGTCCTTGTCCCGTCCCCCCCCCCCCCCA